TACATCGTCCCATTCCCAACTAAGCACCTCTGGTGGCTTTAAGATATGTTTGCAAATTCTTGGGTGGCTCTCAAACCAGGAATTCTTTTCATCTTTAACATGGCCCTACTCAGTGACTCACAGAGCAAAGGGAATGCAATGGGAACACTGCTAGCAAGTTTCTCAGGCTGGGTCATAAAAGGACACAAAAGGACGTAAAAAGGACGTAAAGGACGCCCTTTTACGACCCCTCCAGTTGGGAGGACACTGTAGTGGGAGGGGGAGAGCCCTGCATAGGAAGAAACTGAGGTCTCCTGGTCAGCCGACTGAGCTGCCACCAACTCACCAGCCGTGGAGTGCCCACCTTGGAAGCTGATCCTTTATTCTAGCCCAGCCTTCAGGAGGCTGCAGGCCCATACGACATCTTTCCTACAATCCCATGAGGGACCCTGAGCCAGAGCTCCTCAATGGAGTCACTCCCAAATTCCTGGTCCACAGCCTCTGAGTGAGACAATTAATGTGTATTGTTATTTTAAGCCACTGAGTGTGGGGATAATTCCTTGTGCAGCAGTAGATATGCCAGCCACCCGGTGGATTTTAGTCACTCTTTGATGCTTGCCTGGATGAGGACTACAATGGATAAATCAAATTTAAATGACAGCCAGGGCTTTGTGTGTCCTCTGTCTGCTCTGATTTCTCCTGGTTCTGATGTTCTGTGTCCTATCATTAGAGTAGTGTTTTCAGTGCCCTGCTTGTAACCCTCAGAGCTTTCTGTGCTCCAGATCAACTTCCTACTGCCAGGATGTGTATTTCTGCACTCAAAAGCTCAGATAATTCTGAGGAGTATGGTTGCTCCATTTCCCAAAGGATTTAAGCTTCAGTTTCCCACCGTGGTCACTGGCTTAATCACACATGCCTTCTTTGTGTGATTTCACTACCTCCGTGCTGTGTCCTTACATGTCCCACATAAACCCCTTGTGCTCCAATTTTTCCTTCTGGTCTGTTTTTTGTGGGAGCTCCCAGGAAGACAATGCTTTTTTGCAAGCTGGGACCAAGCCTTGTTCTTCCTTGTACTGCTACAGGGCTTAACATTCAGCCAGGTTCTCAATTCTAGAATCAGCCTCCCGATGCCCTAGAGGAGTGTCTCCATGGTCTCCTTAGGGTGAGGCTCTGGTGGCAGGGACTGAGAGAGGCTGAGGGGTGACCAAAACCATACTTATCCTGGGGCACTCCAGGTTTTAGCTCTCCTCCTTCTGCACCACTCCTGTCTGCTCTGATGGGAGGCCCTGGGTCTACCTCTCTGAGTATCAGAGCTGTTCATCACAAGGCAATGAGACACCCATGGGTCTGGCCACAGCCTGAGCCTGGATTCCCAATTCCCAGGACCAGGAGCAGAACAGTGCTGCTTCCTTGGGTTCCAGACTGGGGTGGTTGGGGAGGGAGGATGGGAAAGAGAGAGGAAAAAGAGGAAAACCAGGGACTCATTCAGACTTCTGCCCTCCAGACTGATAAGAGTCAATTTCTGTTGTTTTAAGCCACTCTGTCTATGGTGGTGATTTGCCACAACAGGACCAGGAAAGGAAGGGGTGGGCGTGGGAGGAGAGCAGAAAGAAATGGGAAAGGAGCTAGGAGAAGGGGAGGAGGAGCAGAAGTTTTGAAGGGCAAAGGTGTGGAGGCATTTAAAGGGAGGGAAAAATCAGAAGTCAGGCTGCTCTGTGTGCCTGGAGGGTGAGCCCAAGGCTGTGAAGGACTTTGTCACACTAAGGGGTTCAGTGTTGGTCAATTGCACCCTGAGGCCAATTGGCCCTCTCCTGGCTTTATAAATAAAGTTGTACTGGAACACAAACACACCCACTAAGTCATACATTGTTGACTTTTCAGTCGTGAAGGCAGATTCCAGTGGCCCTTTGCAGAAAACCTTTGCTGACCACGGCAATAGGGTTCCCTCAAAACCCAAGGATGCCATCTACCCCTGGCCAGCTCTACCACACAAGCACTGCCCTGAGGGGATGTCGCCAGGACTCTCAAGCTGCTGACCCCACCCCTGCTCCAGGGGGATGGTCACTGGGTTGGCTTTGTTCATCTCCTCAGAGACCAGCCCCACTGGGGTAAGTACCCAGCAGTCATCCGGGGAGGGACTGAACGGGTCAAGGATGGATGAGAACAGAGCTGAACCCCCCACAGCCAGAAGCCCTGTCCTGGTTACCCATTGGGGTGGCTTTTTCCCTCATCTTTCCCTCCCCTTTGCCCCAGACATCACGATTTCCCTGCAAAGTGTCCTCTGTGGCACAGATGACCTCTCTTTTCCCCGGGTCTGACTTCCTTGTGATTGAGCCTCCCAGGCCTTTGGAGGGTCCTGGGCTTGGGGGGTGGAGGGGCGGCCTCTCTCAGGACTGAGCAGACAGCTGGGCTCGGCTTCCTTTCAAATAGGGAGACCTTCTTGGATTTTTCCATTGGCTTGAGATGTGGGAGGGTCCAAACCCTTATGAGGGTCACCTCCATGAGAAGTGAGAGAGGCCTGGCACTGGCCCTGGCCTGGGTGACCGAGCTGGCCCCACACATGCACATAGCTCGGAACAAGCTATTTGCCTCCCTGGGCCTCAGCTTCCCCCAAGAGTGGTCCTTGGACCACCTATATCAGGGTCATTTGGGGGAGTTTGCTAGGATGCAGATTCCTGGGAAGGAGGTGGGGAAGAGGGGACAGATCCTGAGGAGGCCATTTGCCCTCTTGCCCACAGCTCCTGGCTACCCTGCTCCTGCCTGGCACGGACAGCCTCCACTCCTCTCTGCAGGGAGGAAGGCTCTGCCAGAAAAGGACCACGAGTGACACCACCGAGGCTTTCCAGCCACCAGTTTGCCATGGAATCAGTCATGGCATGCTTGAGCTGGGAGGGACCTTAAGAATATTCTAGTCCTGCTCTTTCATGCTCCAGATGGGGAAACAGGGGCCTGGGGAGGGGAGCAGATTGCCCGAGGTCCTCCTGTGAATTAGCAGTACCAGATGGGTTCTCAGAGGCCGGATTTCTGGAGTCTGGCTCCCCATCCTCCACGCCCAGAGTCTCAACGTCTCAGGCTCATGGGCAACGTCTCCAAGTTGCTTTTGTGGTTTCTGACACGGTGACCTCCCATCTGTATTATTATCTGCTTAGCGTTTTCCCAAGTAGGCTTTTTGTTTTACCTAAATAAATAAATATATTCTAAAAGAAAACCTCCCATCATGACCATAAATGGATAACCGGTGTCACGTGTCAGAAATGGAAGGTTAGGGTAGGAATCATTACAGAACTCTTGACATAAATAAGCTGTCTGCGTAGTCCCAAAACGCATTTTGGAAACCACCAGCGGAATCTTCATCGGCCTTTTGGAAATGCTCGTGGTGGGAGATGTACAGATTTCAGCCGCATTCGGGAATAGTCTCGAGTGGACTGTCGCAGGCCACCAGGGGTTCAGTTCTAGTGCTAACTCTCACGTGGTTTCTGTGGGTGACTGCTCTTCTTGGGTCCCTCATCTGTAAGTTGGGGCTCACAACTGTGGCTGTTCCGTGGGAAAGAGCCAGGGGAGTGCTGCGAGAGCCACAAGGCACTACCCATCCTGATGTGTGCTATTTCGACAAACCCTTACAAGATGGTCTGTTCTTCGTCCAACAGGATAGCGGGCGTGGAGAACGCCAGCATCTTCAGGGGGAAGTTTAGAATGACTGGCTCCCTTTTTGCCATCGGCCATTTTCAGACTAGAGGAAGGGAAGCTTCCCTGGTAGGGGGATCGGACCTCTCCTCTCCCTCTTTCTTCTCTCTCCCTCTCTGCCTCTTACCCGCCCCCACCTCTCTCTCTCTCACTAGGACAGAGAGGGGACTCACAGATTTCATGTAGCTGCAGCAGGGGAGATTCAGGTTAGACTGTAATGCTCATTCAGCTCACCGGAAGATATTAGTGAGCTTCCAGAAATGAAGCTGAACTTTTCCCATGATAGACTCAGCTCCAGGGGACAGGCAGCCTTCCAGAGTTTCCCCCTTGCCTGCACTGAACACAAGCCTGTCTTGGGAGACTGAACTTGGGGGAGGGAGCAGGGCTCGGTGATGGTAGGAGGAGGCATCCTGGGCTCCCTTGAGCTGCCTTTCCAGCCTTTCCTTGGATTCAAGGGGTTGAAAGCAGAGAGAACTGGGGACCCCACGAGTGAGATACTCCAGTCTCACCGACAACCAGGCCCCCGCAGACTCTCATGACCACCCTAGCTGCCTTCCTCTTCCCTCACTCAACCGATTCCCTGAGGGTGAATCTGAGACCAGAGAGGAAGGGACCTTCCCGAGGGCAGGCGGCAGTACGGGGCAGGCTGGAGAGTGACACGGAGGAGGATTCCTGCCTCGCAGCAGGTGCATGTGTCCACCTTGTTGCCCTTCCTCAAACTGGTTTCAAGGACAGCTGTGAGGTCTGCCTCATCATTGTTGTGTGGGGACAGGCCCCGGGCTGGGCCACTGGCCTGGGAGGGGGATCGGGGTGGGCAGATCCCAGGCCCAGCTTCAGCTGTGGGAAGACGTGCGGGCTGGACTCTGCTTAAGAAGGAGCCTGGGTCGGACTGCGCAGGTAGGTGGTTGGGGGCAGCCAGAGCCAGGACCCGCTCTCCGGCTGTGTGACGTGAGGACATCCTGCACCTCGTCTCCTTCGCAGCCAAGTCTACTCGTCTGTCAATTACGATAATCATGCTTCTCTCCGGTCAGGAAAGAGGAGACTCCAGAACAGCCCCTACCGCCGCGGGGATGCCATGAGAATAAATGGACACCAGCATTCTTAGCTGTGGCCTGCTGATGGGAGCAAGCCCGTGTTCCTGCCTCTGCCGCTGATGGAACCTTGGGGTCTGCCTCTGAAAAACCCGAGTCCTGGCTAGACTGAAAGGGACTGGCCCGGCACCTGACCTCTCTTTAATTTGGGGGGCTCTTTCTTCTACGGAAATGGAGCACCTTTTCCCTGCCCAGCTGGCTCTTGGGGCCTTGGGAATGGAAAAGAAATGACCAGAAGACACTTACCCTGGGGCTGGGCCTGTGGGGGCCTCTCTGGTCCGGAGCTCACAGCTGCTGCTGGCCCAGTGTCCTGTCCACCTGCCCTTTCCGACCTGACCACACGGCTCCTCTCGGTGGGCCTCTTTAAGATCTCCTCGATGGAGAAGGACAGTCCCAGTTTCCTGGGGGCCCCACAGCACCCCGAGCTTTTGCTCTCCATACCCTGCAGAGGGCAGGGCTTGCCTTGGGGCACTCTGTGGGTGGCTGTGAGGAGGGGCAGAAGGGGACCTTGTGTGCGCCCAGGGCGAAGCTGGTGGAGGGTAGCGTACTTCCTCCCCTGGAACTTCTGGAATCAAAAGGGCAAGCGGAGGTGGAGCACGGGGAGCCTCATGTCAGATTATCCAAGCACGAGTCTGTCTTGCACGGACTCCCATGGGCTATTCTTACCGCCCCCCCAAGGAAGCAGGTCACATTGGGAGAGCTGGAGTGGGCTGTATCCTAGGCCCGTGGGCTCAGAGCTCTTGAAGACTTGATGTCACGGGAGCCGCCATGACCACGCTGGGTTTGGTGGTACTGCCAAAGGTCTTCTCCGGGGTGGTTGCTTTCAAAATCCCTGGGCTAGGTCGAGGTCCCTGATGTCACTGCCGTCTAAGCTAAAGAGCTGGAAGGAAGAGGAACGTCCACCTTTGTCTTTTCTCTGGCTTGTGGCCCTGGCCTGATGGCTCTGGCCAGCTTCTGGAAGGCTGAAGTGCCACCTTTGGGCCCCAGGAGGCCAACTCCGATCCGGGCCACCTGCAGCCTTGAAAGGTGTTTCCAGAAACCCTCTTGGACTTTGATTTCTGCTGCTTCTGGACTCCAGAATAGGCTTTCCAGAGCACCTGGGCTTCTACCATCTGGCAGGTGCAGGCTTAGGTAAGGGTCTCCGAGCACCGCAGGCTGGCTGTCCGTGTCAGGGCTGGACCGAGTGCCGGTGTCTCTGGCCTTCCTTCCGGTTTCCTTGGCCTCACTTCACAAGCCTCTCCAGAGGGTCCAGGCCCAGCGTGACTCTCCCTTCTTTTTGGTGTCCTTTTTGGTGTCCTGCTTCTTCCCAGCTGGTATGCCCCTTACATGTCCCCCGAGATAGCACCGAGGGAACCCTTTCAGTCTGTCCTGTAAACTGTTGGCTGGTTGCTGACAAGGCATCCACCTGTCCTTATGGGGAATTCTGCTCCCAATTACTGTGTAATCAGGGAGGAGGAGCTGATAAGAGAAGAAACTCTCCACTCTCCTTAAGGCCGGGGACACAGGTGTTGGGAGGAAGGGGCAGGGGGCAGAGTGGAGTTGAAGGGTGGGCAAGGGGGGCCTGGGGAGGTGCCATGCTGGGGAACTGGCTAGGTGGGAGCAGGATGAGGGATGGGAACAGGCTGGACAGGAAGTGTCCCCGGGCCCAATAAAATGTGTTTGCTCAGCTCGGAGAGTTTATGGGTCACGTGGAGGTTAGAGGCTGGGCCAGGATGCACTCTGTTGGGTGTCAGCTGTGGGTGTCCCTGTCAGACATGCTTCCCTGGGCTTGCAAATACCAGAGTAGGAGACGCTTCTGAGTTCTTACGGTGTATGTGGGGAAACCGAGGCCCAGATCAAGGAGTTGGAGTGGATGTCATGGCAGTCTGATGTGGGTAGTCCACCGGGGAGCTCCAGGTTGGGCTGGGCACAAGACTCAGTTGGCATGAGAGTGACAGATGCCCCAGGAGAGACGGTGAACTTGCGTTGGGACACTGGAAGCCAGACCTTCTCATAGAGGGTGAGGGGGCGGGGAAGGCTAACCCCCACTCCCTGTGGAGGATGAATGCAGAGAGCGAGGGACTCGCCCTGAGATGGGGAGCAAGTAGAGATCACATGTCCTGCTTTAGAAGTGGTGCCCCTTGGGAGGGTCAGGTTATTCGATGGAGCTCGGGAGCCTGGGCTCCGAGGCAGTAACCAGCCAACTCTACAATCTTCGGAGCGTCCTTGCACATCCATGCCAAAGCCTGATGTAGTTGGACATCTGGGTCCTTCCAAACGGGGATGCTACCGCCCTCCAAGTTTTCCCCGGAAGAGGAAGGAATTTTAATGAGTCAGAAGTGGGAAGTGTGACTTAATGTAACTTCTGCTCATATACTGTGGCCAGAATGAGTCACATGACCCTGCCTCCAGGCAAGGGGGCTGGGAAATGGAGTTCTTCCTGCACCTGGAGGAAAATGAACCAGTTTGGTGAATGCACAGTGAAATGCTTGCTGTATACCATGCTGATCAGGAGGCTAGAGTCCCACCGTGGTCAGGCCACTGTTGGTTGACTAAAGGAGTCGTTGATTGTGAGGACCTGTTTCCCCCCACTGGGCGCAGAGAAAGATGTGAGGGTGCTTGAGGAGGCGGGTCAAGAGTGAGGACAGGGACTTTAGGGGCTGAAGCAGCAGAGGCAGTAAGGACAGGAGGAGAGGCCGTGGAGCCGGGGCTGTGCACCCATTGCCGCATCTAATCCACCCGACAGCCCTATTAAGCGGCTGTCATCCACGCCGGTTTACCGCTGAGATGTGCCCAGAGACGTGGAGTGGTGGGTATAAGGCTACACAGCTAACCAGCAAAGAAGCAGTGTTGAGACCCAGTTGGTCCTGCTCTCAAACCCTGCTCCCTTTGCCATAATCCCCAGAAACCATCTGGTCCAGCCCTGTCATTGTACAGATGGCCAGAGTCCCAGAGAGAGAAGTTGCCGGAGACACTACACCTGTCATTTTCAGCATGTCCTTTGATTTCCTTATATTTTGCCTCTCTTGAGGTGAGCCTCCCAGCAGATTAAGGAAACACCCCTTGTCACGTGGACCCGGACACTCGCCCTCCTTCCAGTCCATCGCCCGCAGCTGGCCATAGCCCTGGCATTCATGCTGTGTTCCTTCCACACATGTGCCTCGAGCAGCCACTGTGTGCCAACCACTAGGTACGGGTGCATGAATGAGACACAGAACCTGCCCTGGGGGGACTCACTGTCTGGGGTCGGGGAGAGGAGATGAGCTGCGGGGCAGGCAGGCCAATGAGACAACGTGGAAAGTGCTTAGGAGTTGGGAGGGGCTCTGGTGGGACTGCAGAGGAGACAGAACTTAGGTGGCTGCCTGGGTCAAAGGCAGCTATGACGTGGAAGAACAGAGAGGCAGGGGAGTCATGGCACGGGAGCTCCGTCATTTATTCTACTGAAAACACACAAGCAAATAAAGGCACCTGCATAGTGCACGCTTCCTACTTTCATTGATGGGAGCGGGATCTCACTTCCTGGAGAGGCGTTTAGGAAGAACATGCTGGAAAAGTAGGTTGGAACCGTTGGTTCACTTATGCACCATTCAGATATTTTTGAAGCACACGCTCCGAGGGGCCCGGCAGTGACTACAGTGGCTGGAACAGCAGTCGTGATCCAAACAGACACGCTCCCTCTTTCCCAGGAGCTCACCTTGAGACTAGAGAGGACGAATAAATGCCTAATCTAATTTCCATGCGTGGTGATGCTATAAATAAAACAGGATGATGAGCCAGGGAGAGTGGCCAGGTGGGGGAGGGTGCTTTAGTTTCTTCAGATGTGAACTGCATCCCCCTGGGCCAATACAGAACCAGGGGTGTTTCTGTGAGCCGTGGTTCATGAACCAAGCTATAGGGTTAAGACAAACATCAGGGACAAAGGGGAGAGAAGTTACAGGCTGCGTGTGCTGACGTCTGGGAGGGAGTGTATATCAGGATGTGTTCAGCTGTAAGTGACCAAAACCTAACATGAGTGGTGTAAACACTAGGTGTTTGTTCACCTGGTGATGTGTGCAGGTGGGAGGACCCAGGGCTGGTTAATTCAGGTGTGATAACAATGTCAAGGGCCAGGCACTTGTCTGCTTTCTCTTCTGCCATCCGTCCCCAGTGCTTTGGTTTTGTCTCTCTACCTGTCCCCATGGCTGGTAGATGGTTCCAGCAGCTCCAGGCTTCTGGCCTCAGACACACACAAATGGGCTTGCCATCCCCCACTCTTCTTCTCATGGAGAAAAGCCTTTCCCAGAAGCCTCCAAGCAGATTCCTTTTATTTCCCCTTGGCCAGGACGGAGTCCCCAACCTTAAACCACTCCCTTCCAGAAAGAAGGAAGTGGCCATGACAGATAATTTATTCAGGGTTCACTCCCTGCGATGGTGCTGGAGCTGCCTTTCCTGGTCATTCTACTGCTCAGTTCCACAGACTGGGGTCTGTGAGCCAAATGCTCACAGGACTAGTGACTGCTGTCACAGAGAGGCCAGCCGTGTCTGCTTCGGGAGTGGGTGGCCGGTCAAGTGGGTTTTACTTTGGGAGGTTGTGCAAGAGGGGGCGTGTACCCAGGTGTGCAAGGACAGCATTTCCTGAGCAGCCGGCACATTGGCTAGGCCCCTCCTGGGGTACAGGGAGAAAAGGAAGAGAGGAAGCTTGGAAGGAAGGACCACCCCCCTCCCTTTGGGCAGCTTGGACATTTTCACAGTGAGACCCTTCCCAAAGCCATTACCACTTTCCGCCGTCTGCCGCTCCCAGCCTCCATGGAACAGGGAGTCATTTCTGTTGTGCAGTTGAAGGGATTAAAGCACGATGAGGGAAGTGACTCATGCAAATTCTCTCTGTTAGTTGCTAGCAAGTGGCAGAGTCATGGCTTGGAGGTAAACTTGCTGTCACTGGAATGCAATCTCTTCCTATCACTCCACACAGCTTCCTAGAGTTATTTAAACAGTCTGAGTTTTTAGAAGGAATTCCCAAAGAAGCATCTCTACAGATACCTCAGTGGGTTGGTAGTTGAGAGATTTGAGGTCTGAGGGACTCCCTGCTCTATTACTTCCTTCCAGAGCAATTTTTTCTGGGTCTTTCCCTCTGTGGTGCTGGCTTCCTGAGCAGAAGAGGGCCTGTTCAGGGACAATAACATGAAGGTGGTCTGCCACGGGGATGGTCTGGTGGTGAGAAGATCAGGGGTTCTTAGTGGACCCCTCCCACCTTCATCCTTGCACTAGTTGCCCTTGAGACTTTCTTCTGCCGTGACCTCCTGTGGGGGGTGGAGATGCCTAGATCTGCCATTCTGAGCTCACATTTGATTCCTTTTCATTCTGGATTCTGTTGAGGGCACTCAAAGCCCTTTCATAGTCCATCAGGTCTTTAGGCCTCCTTACTTGGGGATGAGAACTTGTCTTTCTGAGCAGACTGGCAGATCCTAGAGGCAACCTGCATTGGGAAGGCAACACTTAGAATGCAGGATAAACCACAGAGCCCTTTCCCTTGAGGATTTGGTAACCAGTGAGGTTGGACCTGGGGTCAAGTTGAGTTACATCTCCCTGGTCGGGTATGTGCAGTCTGCTTGGACCTTGGGTTGTGGGTGATGGTTAAAACCCTTCATTTACATCACATATTTAAAGCCAGTCATCATAATCTCTGAAGACCAGAATACCAGGACTGACATAGGTCTTGTAAAGTCTTGCTTGAATCACTCTGGAGTCGATAAATGGTTTCATATATATGTAACTGTTCCGTGTATTTAAAGCACATCTCCTTACAGATAGC